TAAACCAAGGTACATCATCATTAAGTTACCAAATATTAAAGATAAAGAGAGAATCTTAAAAGCAGCAAGAGAAAGAGACAGTTACCTACAAAGGAGTTCCCATCAGACTATCAGCTGATTTCTCGAAAGAAACCTTACAGGCAAGAAGGGGCTGGAAAGAAATATTTGAAGTCATGAAAAGCAAGGACCTACATCCAAAATTACTCTGTCTAGCAAAGCTTTCATTTAAAATGGAAGGGCAGAGAAAGTGCTTCACAGATAAGGTCAAGTTAAAGGAGCTCATCATCACCAAGCAATTATTATATGAAACATTAAAGGAACTTATCTAAGAAAAAGATTAAAAATATGAACAGTAAAATGACAACAAACTCACAACTATCAACAAATGAACCTAAAAGAAAAGAAAAACAACAAAAACAAAAACTAAGCAAAAAACTAGAACAGGAACAGAATCAGAGAAATGAACATTGCACAGAGGGAGTTCAGTGGGGAGGGAGAATGGAGGAATAGGGGGAAAGGTTCAGGGAAGAAGAAGCATAATTGGCAGGCTTTAAATAGACAGGGAAAGATTAAAAATGGCATAGGAAACAGAGGACTCAAAGAACCTCTATGTACAACCCACGGACGTGAACTAAGTGGCGGGGGAATGCTGGAGGGTTGGGGAAGCAGGGTAGAGGGGGGATCGAGAGGGAAAAATTGGGAAAACTGTAACAGCATAATCAATAAAAAATACTTTGAAGAAAAGTTTTGGATTTTGACCATTCTAATGAATTATGTGGCGGTATATCTCACTGTTGTTTTAACTGCCATTTCCCTAATGACATGATGCAGAGCACCTTTTCATGTGCTTGTCACCTGTATGTTGTCTTTGGTGAGGTGTCTATTAAGGTATTTGTCCCATTTATTCAATCGGGTTGTTTGTTTTCTTGAAATTTTGAGTTCTTTGTATTTTAGATAATAGGCCTTTATCAGGTATATCTTTTGCAACTATTTTCTACTAATGCACGGCCTGTCTTTTCATTTTCTTGTTTTATTCAGAGCAGGTTTTTAAATTTAATGAAGTCCAACTTATCAACTGTTTCTTTCACAGATAGTACTTTAATGTATGTAAAAAGTCATCGACATACACAAGGTTCTCTAGGTTTTTTTTTCTCTTATGTTATCTCCTAGGAGCTTTAGAGTTTTGTATTTCACTTTTAGTAGGGACGGTCATCTTTTATTTCTTGTACTTAACTGAGAAATCCACTTATGAAGCCAACACAACTGGAATCACAGTGAGTAGAAAGTGATTACCTGTCCTAAGCAAGTACTTTTCATCGAATATTACTACTTGTTCCTTGACAGCATAGGCTTTAAGAGAATCATGTCAACTAAAAGCACTAAAATTTAAGTCAAAGAATCAAAAGGCAGATCCATTTTAATTTTCTGATATGTCTCCATACTGTTTTCTACAGTGGCTGAGCCAATCTGCATTCCCTTCAACAGTGCAAAAGGGTTCCTCTTTGTCCACATCCTCACCAGCACTTGCTGTTTGTTGATTTATTGATGATAGCCATTCTGACAGGTGTGAGATAGCATCTCATTGTGGTTTTAATTTGCATTTCTCTGATGATTAGTGAGATTGAGCATCTTTTCATATGTCTATTGGCCATCTGTATGTCCTCTTTGGAGATGTGTCTATTCAGGTCCTTAGCCCATTTTTTAGTTGTTTTTTTGTTGTTAAGTTTTATAAGTTCCTTGTAAATTTTGGATATTAACCCCTATCAGATGTATCAGTGAATATGTTCTCCCATTCTGTAGGCTGTCTTTTTGTTTTGTTGATACTTTCCTTTGCTCTGCAAAAACATTTTAGTTTGATGTAGTCCTATTTGTTTATTTTTCTTTTGTTTCACTTGCCTGGGGACATATAACTGATAAAATATTGCTACAAGCTATGTTCATGATTTTGCTGCCTGTTTTCTTCCACAATTTTTATTCAGTGGATGAGTGGATAAAACTATGGGACAGTTACACAATGAAATACTACTTGGTCATAAAAAGAAGAAAGTTTTGCCCTTTACAATAGTATGAATGGACCTGAAGAACATTATGCTAAGTGAAAAAGACAAATACCATGATTTCACTCGTATGTGCAATCTAATAAAGAAACTAAACTAACAAGCAAACCAGAGACAGACTCATAGAGAGCAGGATGACAGCAAAGGGAGGAGCAGGTAGAGGGTGGAAGGACCGAGCAAAAAGGAAAAAGGACTCATGGATATAGACAATAGTGTGGTAATTGTGGGAGGAGGGGAAGTTTAAGAGAACTAAATGGCAATGGAAAAAATACAATAAAAATCATTTAATAAAAAATAAAAGTCAAAGGAAATTAGTTTTTAAAATAATGTTTTGTTCTTCTGTTTAGAGAGAATTTGGAAAAAATGGAAAATGATCACCATAATTCCACTATCTGAACATAACCACTGATAATGTCTGGAATATTTTCTTCCATTTAAAAAAATATTTTTTAATTATTCAAATAAAGTTGTCTCCATTTTCCCACCACCACTCTTCCCCCATCCAGCCATGCCCACCTTCCACCCTCGATCCTACCCTCCTTCGGCTTTGTCCATGTGTCCTTTACACATGTTCCTTGACAACCCTTCTCCCTTTTCTCCCTATTATCCCTCTGGTTACTCTCAGTTTGTTCTTAATTTCAATGTCTCTGGTTATATTTTTCTTGCTTGTTGGTTTTGTTGATTAGGTTTCACTTATAGATGAGATCATATGGTACATATTTTACACAGCCTGGCTTATTTCACTTAGCATAATGCTCTCCAGTTCCACACATGCTATCACAAAGTGTGGGAGCTCCTATTTTCTTTCTGCTGCATAGTAGTCCATCCTGTAAATGGACTCGATGGGTAAAAACTAAAAGCTATCCCACTTAGATCAAGAACAAGACAAGGATGTATGCTTTCACTACTTCTATCCAACATAGTATTGGAAGTCCTAGCCATAGCAATCAGACAAGAAAAAGAAATAAAAGGCATCCAAATTGGAAAAGACAAAGCAAAACTGTCATTGTTTGAGGATGCCATAATAGTGTACATAGAAAATCCTATAGACTCCACCAAAAAAACCACTTGACCTCATAAATGAATTTGGCAAAACAGTGGGATACAAATATTCAGAAATCTTCTGGGTTTTTTTGCATACACACACACACACAATAAAAATAAGTGAGATAATGAGATCACATTGTGTATAGTGTCACATGTTTGAAATTCTTTTCTCATTAACACTGGAAATGTCTTCAAAAGTATAATTTTTAATGGCCGCATAGTATTCTACAGTGTATGTGTCAACATTTATTATTTTTTAATACTCATTCGAGCATATGATATGATTATTGATTTCAGAGAAAAAGGACATGAGAGAGAGAGAGAAACATATCAATCGGTTGCCTCCCAAATGCATCCGGACCAGAGACCGAACCTGCAGCCTAGGTCTGTGCCCTGACTGGGAATTGAACCCACAGCCTTTTGGTACATGGGATGATGCTCCAACCAACTGGCTACCTGGCCAGGGCTGTCAACATTTATTTTAATAAAACTTTTCGGATTTTTCCCTTCTGCAGATAATACTGAGTTTCTCCATATACAAATCTCTACCTCACTGTTATCTTTAAATATTCCCCAGAACTGAGTTAAAGGGTAAATCTTAACCATCTTGATATACACTGTCAAACTGCTTTTCAGTGCAGCTGTTCAAAACTTGCTACTTCCAGCAGTGGCATAGTAAATATTTTTCTCAAATTGTTGCCGTCTTAAACAATAAAACACATAGTCAACCCTTAAGACAATAAAGTTTGAACAGAGCAGGTCCATTTATATGTGATTTTTTCAATAAACAGTCAGCCTTCCATACCCCCAGGTTTCACATCTGTGAACTTAACAAGTATAGAGCTGACTATATTAAGATGTTTTACAGCATTTTAGATAAGAAATTTGACCATCCATGGATTTTGGTATTGCGGTTCAGGGTGGTGGTTTCTGGGACCAATCCTCTACAAATACTGAGAGACATCTGTAGTTAAGTTTCAGGGTCAAAAATTATATACAAAATTTTGACCGTGCAGGGATTAGCACTCATAACTCCCATGTTGTTCAAAAGTCAGAAGTATTTTTAATTTGAGCTTCTAAACTATCCTAGGCTAAACACCATTTTATTTTGTGAACCATCTATTGATGCCCTTTGTTCATTATTCTACTGAGATGTTTAAAATTTTTCTTAAGATTTATAAGAGCACTTTAATATCACGTAAGGATATTAACCCTTCTTCTGCCCGTATCCAAACATTTTCCCTATGTCAATACTTTCTACATATTTATTTATTTATTTAGATTTTATTTATTTATCTTTAAAAGGGAAGAGAAGAGAGAGAGAGAAACATCAATGTATGCTTGCCTCTCATGTGCCCCATACTGGGAACTGGCCTGCAACTCATGTGCCCTGACTGGGAATCAAACCACGACCCTTTGGTTCACAGGCCTGAGCTGAATCCACTGAGCTACACCAGCCAGGGCTTCAAGTTATTTTTTGACATTTGTCATACAACATTTAAAATTTTTATGTAGTCTAAAGTTTTTTCTGTGATTCTTCCACTGCTTTTATGCTCAGAAGAATGCATTTTCCAGATGAAATTCAAAATCTCAAACTACTAAAAAATTGAAATGAACAGAAATTTGTATCATACAAAGTTCAGTTTAAAGCATTTTTATGATCTTCCAGAGAAGATACCATCTATGGAGAACAAAACTAACATTTATTGGGTTATCGATCATATTTAAGACTGTTCTAGATATTTACTAAATATTTCCTAACTTAAATCTCATTTTTATCTCGATTTTATAGATGAGAAAATGAAACAAATCAGAGTAAGTAATTAGTGGTTTACCAGAATGAAACTCAGAGCTACTCTTAAGGAGGGACCATCTACCCCCAAATTAGTTACTCACCTCTTCATCAATTTTATCTTCTAGGGCATCAATATGACGTTCTTTAAGAAATCGTTGTGTTTTTTCCAACTGGTATTTCACTAATTCCTCTATGGCATCTTTCTCTTCCTTGTCCACAAACTCTTGTACTGCTTCACCCATTCCCCTTTCCGTCAGAAGTGAGAGCTGCACATTCTGTAAGAGAGATACAGATCACTGCATGCAGAAAATAGTATATATTCCTTACAAAATAATTCTGGATGGTCAGGGAAAATTACAGAATATTATTTCTAGGGAAAAAGACATATGTTATCTGGTTATGGAAGGGAAAACAAAACAATGGACCACAGTTAAGCCCAGTGATACATATTAAGAGCCAGAAAAAGCAAAATGAAAACAAGAAGCGGGAGTACAAGTGAAAATGTGAAGGCTTGAGGGGCTGGGATACAGAGACCAGTAGTGGCTGCTGCTGATTAAGAAAGATCAGGTTAACCAGTGTGGTAGGCAGGATAACAGCCCCCTAAAGATATCCACATCTTGATCCTTGGGCCCTTGAAAATGTCCCATAGCAAAATGGAACTAAGGTTACTAACCAGCTGGCTATAAAATCAGATTACCAGGGACTATCCAGGTAAGGCCAGTGTAATTATGAACATCCTCAAAAGTGGAAGAGGAAGGCTGAAGGAGGGAGTCAGAGAGAGATGTAGCAGAGAAAATGGCCAGAGAGATACAATGTTGCTGGCTCTGAAGATGGAAGAAGCCCATGAAGCCCAAAAGGTGGGCACCTCTAGAAGCTAGAAAAGATCAGGAACTGAGTCTACCCTGGAACCTCCAGAAAAGAACACAGCCCTGCTGACCCTCAATTTTAGTCCAGTGGGACTGGTGTCAGATTTCTGACCTACAACATTGTAAGATAATAAACCTGTACTGCTTTTAAACCACTAGGTTTGTGGAATTTGTTTCAGCAACAATAGGAAATCAGTACAACCAGAGGATCTTAGGGTGCCATACCCTCATGACAATAAGAGGAGCTTCACAATCCTGTGGCTATATTAATCATTAATTCTGAAATTACATCCAGATCCAAGAAACATAAATCCTGGATTCAGACTTATACCGTAGCAATAAAAAGAAAACAGGATAACAACATCAATAATAGTAGCCACAATAATACAAATAACATTAATATTGGTGTATAGTAGCTATAAATGAATGCAATTAATTGCCATTCTGACTACTTCTTGGAAACATTTTGAGGATCCCTTTTATCTAAACTACCAATTATACTTATTCCAAATTAAAATCTGTTATTATGAGATGGCCATCATTCACACTGTGAACTTTAATTAAGAAATTACCTTCTCTGCAGTTTGGAAATACTGTTTTACAAGGTCTTCCACCCTTAGAGTTGTTCCTTCTGAAGGTTTACTAATTAACTTCCCGAAGTTGATTTCTTCTCCTAGAAAAAAGAAGTCCATGAAAAAACAGCAGCTGCTACTATAATGTTAAGTTCCCAAACTCAGTGTAGACTGCTGTCAGCAGAGGAGGTACAGCCCAATTTTATCGACTGTCAGCTTGCTCAATGTGGTAAATTTTAAAGCAAAAACACAGGATCTTTGCAAACAGCCAGTCTTTTCACTAAAGTCTATTTGTTTTCCATATCTCCAAGTAGTATAGGGTTGGCCAAAAAGTCCATATGGTTTTTTCCATAAAATAAAAGACACATTTTCCAACTTCACCAATGATTTTATTGATTTGGATATTTTGAGTATGTTGGCTATTCCCCATGTGGTGTAACATTGACTGTTCTCAGTTAATGCCTTGATCTGATCGCTGTCAATTTCAACTTGGTCTACCCGACTGTGGAGCACTGTCCAGGAAGAAATTTCCAGCACAAAACTTTGCAAATCACTTTTGAGATGTTCGATCGGTCACAGTACCTTCTCTATAAGCTGTGCTTTTACCTTTCTTGAAATAATAAAGCATAATATGCCAAAAAGGTTGCACATTTTCTCCCATCTTCAGTATTAAAATGGCTACACAAAAATTCACCCATTTTGATAAGCTTTTTTAAAATGCATTCTGAGATGACAGCTGTCACAAAACCATCTAACAAAACTGTTTCAAATGAAGTTAAGCACTACTAGAGCCATCTTACAGAAAAAAACAAAGAAACTTTTTGGCCAAATCAATACATCTCTTGCAGCTATTCTTACACAGTGGTCCACAAATGTCTGAGGAACCTCAAGCCATTTCAGGGGGGGCTCACGGTGAAAACCACCTTAGTAATAACACCAAGATATTATTTAGTTTTTCACTATAATGACGTTTGCACTGATAATACAAAAGCCATTGTGGATAAAACTGCCAGTGCCTTGGAATGAGTCAGGGTAGTAGCCCAGAACACTACTGTCATCACTGCATACAGTTCAAAACAAAACAAAACAAATTTTCTCTTTAGAATGTCCTTGATGAAAAACTAAAGTTATTTAATATATTTTATTGATTATGCTACTGCAGCTGTCCCATTTCCCCCCCTTCATTCCGCTCCACCCTGCACACCCCCTCCCACCCACATTCCCACCCTTTAGTTCATGTCCATGTTCTCCCAACTTCTTTAGCTTCTACATTTCCCATACTATTCTCGCCCTCCCCCTGGTCTATTTTCTACCTACCAACTATGCTACTTATTCTCTGTACCTTTTCCCACTCTCCTCCACCCACCCCCCTGTTGCTAACCCTCCATGTGATCTCTATTTCTATGGTTCCGCTCCTGATCTAGCTGTTCTCTTAGTTTGCTTTTGTTTTAGGTATGGTTGTTAACGACTGTGAGTTTGCTGTCCTTTCACTGTTCATCTTTTTTATCTTCTTTTTCTTAGATAAGTCCCTTTAACATTTCATATAAGGGCTTGGTGATGATGAAGTCCTTGAACTTGACCTTATCTGAGAAGCACCTTAGCTGCCCTTCCATTCTAAATGAAAGCTTTGCTGGATAGAGCAATCTTGGATATAGGCCCTTGCCTTTCATGACTTGGAATAGTTCTTTCCAGCCCCTTCTTGCCTGTAAGGTCTCTTTTGAGAAATCCACTGACAGTCTGATGGGAACTCCTTTGTAGGCAACTATCTCCTTATCTCTTGCTGCTTGTAGGATTCTCTCCTCCATTTTAATCTTGGCTAATGTAATGATGATGTGCCTCGGTGTGTTCCTTCTTGGGTCCAACTTCTTTGGGACTCACTGAGCTTCCTGGACTTCCTGGAAGTTTATTTTCCTTGCCAGATTGGGGAAGTTCTCCTTTATTATTTGTTCAAATAACTTTTCCACTTGTTGCTCTTCCTCTTCCTATAATTCGAATATTGGGACATTTAAAGATATCCTGGAGGTTCCTAAGCCTCTTCTCATTTTTCTGAATTCTTGTTTCTTAATCCTTCTGGTCCACTCCATTTATTTGAGTCCCACTTTTCTTTCCATCGCTATTGGTTCCCTGTGCATTTTCCTTCATTTCACTTAGCCCAGCCTTCGTTTTTTCATCTAATTTGCGACCAAAATCAGCCAGTTCTGTGAGCATCCTGATCACCAGTTCTTTGAACTGTGCATCTGGTAGGTTGGCTATCTCTTTGTTGCTTTGCTGTATTTGTCCTGGGGCTTTGATCTGTTCTTTCATTTGGGCCATTTTTTTTGTCTTGATGCACCTGTTATGTAATGAGGGGCGGAGCCTCAGAGATTCACCAGGGCGGGGCAACCCACATTGCTGTATTCTGACGCTGTTTGTGAGGGAGGGGTCCGAGAGGGAACAATGGCCCCTGCTCCACTCTCTGCCCAATTTCAGTCCCTTCTGCTGCTTCTCCCAAGCAAACTGGGCCCTTCTGGTGCTGATTCCCATGTGGGTGGGCTTATGTATGTTCTAGGACCCTGTGGGTCTCTCCTACAAACTCTCCTATGAGACTGGGTGCACCTTAACCCCCATAGGTGTTTTCGACTGGTGTTTTGAGGCTTTGTTTCCCCACAGTGGACACCTGGGTTGCACAGTCTGTCTCGCTCCCCAGTTTCACCTGGTTTATCTGCACGCAAGTGTGGAACCACCCTGTCTGCCAGCCACCTTGCATGCCGTGCCTCTCCACAATCCGCCACCTTGCCGGGTCTGTCCACTGCCAAGCTGTGCCTGGGATCTGCCAGCTGCCGCTTTTTTTGCTGCAACCCCTCTCCGCCCGGCAGCCTGACTCCGCCCCTGGATGAATGTGTCTACTTTAACTCCTTGGTCATCGGACTTCCATAGAGTTCGATTTTCTGTCAGTACTGTTTGTTTTTTTGTTTTTAAATTGTCGTTGTTCTTATTTTGGTTGTGCAAGGAGGCACAGTGTGTCTACCTACGCTTGCACCTTGGCCAGAAGTCTATCTAAAATTATTAATTTAATTAAATTTCAGCTCTGAAGTACATACCATTTTAATATTCTGTGAGATAAATAAGATGTACACTTAAAGCACTTTAGTTACATTCCTAAGCAGGATGGTTGTCTCAAAAAACAGCAGGTGAAAAATAAAAAGAGTACTGGGTAGGAAGTCAGGAAGCATAAGGTCCAGTATCTGCTCTGCTGATAATCTTTGTCAGGGAAACAAATGATTAACTACATAGCCAGTGTTGGACCTGGTGTTGAAAACACAGTGATAAAAAGATAGGATCCCCTGCCCATAAAAACCAATGATTTCAATACAAGGTGATGAGTGCTACAGAGAGGTAAGAACAGAGAACATGACAAATGGAGAAGAAACAAACTAATTCTTCTTAAAGAAGGCTGAGAATAATGTGCAGTTATCCCATGGAGCTATCGTTTGAATCAAGCCTTGCAGAAGAAGAAAATCTATTTCAGGTGGAGGAGAAAGTACATGCAACAGCCTAGAGGATGAAGAGGCACAATGTTCAGTGTGCCTCTTGCAAAGTGGTGAAGACAAATAAACAAAAATCTTTTTTGAATTCCGAGAGAGTAGAATTCATATAACTTCATAAATATGATTACTACATTTTATAATACCAGACGCTATGTTAAGATCATTTACACACAGTGTAACAACAATCCTATGAGGCAGGCAGTTAATATCCTGATTTTATAGAAATCAGGTAAAGTAATTTACAAAATGTACCACCTGTATTAAAGTAGCAGAGCTGGTCAAAACAACATAAAATGCTTTCAGTAAAACATTCAAAGGGATCATTGTTTCAATTAAGCAATTAATGTTTAAACAAAAAAGGAATCATTAGAACAAAACTGACTATAAATAACACTCAAGTAACATACTGTGCTAGTTCTATATTCTATTATAAATGGGACACTCATAAAATTTCAAGGAGTTGATAAGGATGGACAATTAAAGTAAGGCAGCATTAATAACTAATTAAAACTCAAAGCATGAAAATACAATTCTCTGATACAGATGTTTCCCCCTAAAACAGTATTTTGTGAGCTCCATTTAAATCTCTAAATGACTATTTCAGGTTGAATTAACAGCATACACAATTTTAATAACAATTTGATACTAAAAATAGAAGCCCCCTAAATCCAAGTTTTTAAGAACCTAGGTAGCTTACTTGTAAGCAAGGGTCATATTTTCTATGAAAATTCTGACTCAATAGCTCTAAGGAAAGCAGCCTCTGTATTTAACGCATTTATTATGAAGAAACACTACAACTGACCCTGGACAACAGGAGGGTTAGGGGTGCCAACCCAATGCACAGTTGAAAATCTGTGCATAACTTTTAACTCCCCCCAAACTTAACTACTAACAACCTACTGTAGACTGGAAATCTTACAGATAACATAAATAGTTACTTAATACATATTTTGTATGTTGTATGCATTGTACTATATTCTTACAATAAAGCAAACTAGAAGAAATATAATGTAATTAAGAAAATCATATGGAATATACAGTATTGTACATATTTACTGAGAAAAATCCATGTATGAGTGAACCTGTGCAGTTTAAACCCATGCTGCTCAAGGGTCAACTGTTTCCATCAGATCACCTGTTTTATAAATGCTAAAATAAGGACAATGAATTTTTAGGAAGTTGTTAATTGGAAACTAATGATCTGATTATCAGAAATATCAAACTATGGGATACCTCCTATTTCAAAAGACTGGAATTTTGGGGGCGACTTCTTCATGGGTCCATCCCCCACCCCACCCCACCCCCGGTGCCATGGACACGCATGAATGAATAAGTATGTGGCCGAGACATGCTGAGATCTGTTTAGGGAGGAAGGAGTGGGATGTGGCCAGTTTCTCAGGGGAGACAAAGGCCAGCAGCGGCCAGTTTCTCCGAGGAGAAAAAGGCCCCAAGTGCCCTCTTCCATAGCCTTTTATTGTGTTGTAATACACAGGAATACAGGGGCAGCAAGGATCAAACAGTAGATAACATTTCAAAGAAATCTGAGGACTTCAGAGTCTGAGTCAGTGTCTGTCAGGAAGAGAGTTGTAGAAACTTTGGGAGACACACTCATTTCCTCTTGGACCCTTATCATATGAATGAAAGCACTCTTAGCAGAGCAGATTTCACAGGTTTATCAGGAAGTCTTTGTGATGCCAGATTTTTCCCAGGACATGATCTAGCAAGGCAAGGAGCTACACCTCTTCCCAACAGGTATTCAGGCTTAAGGGGATTAGAGCCAGGAAGCACTTCTCCCAGAGAACATGGGGATTAGGCTATGTCAAAGCCGAGATGGGGGGCAGAGTCCATTGCTCTCTGTTGCAGCCCCCCGCCCCCAAGTCCTTCCATGAAGGCCTCCCAGGTGATCAAGTCTGGCTTAGGTTGCCCCCTGCTGTGAGGGGTCTTACCCGTCATTGACTTCCGACCAAGCTCTGGGAGCAGGGAGAGGAACTGAGGCAGCGTTTGCTACCAGAGACAGGCTCTGTCTCCTGTGGCTGGCATTCCAGAGGTGGTCTCTCGCCCTTAGCCACAAGGGGTAGAGATACAATTCCTAAAACTAGGTAGAGCGGTCTACAACATGGAATCTTCCTAAATCACTCTACACTTTAAAGCTCAAATACGTTACTTAATAATGCAAAATTTGAGAATGCATTCTCTGAACATGAATAATGCATAATAAATAAGAGATATTTATTTTGAGCAATTAATCTGTAAAGTCTGTGTGTGTTGGTACTCAGCAGCACTATTTTAAAAAAGTACATATGCACAGAAAGCCTCCATTTCTTTTTGATATCCACACAAGTATTAAAAATGATTGCTATCTAAATCTTAGAAATTTAATTATTCTATCAGTTTGACTAAGATACTACAATCATACAATAACATTTTCATTATTGTACACTTTTATTAAAGTCATAACCCCTGTAAGAGCATTTTTTTATTTGTAAAAATAACTAGCTTACCCATGTTTTCCTTTTGTTCTCTGCGCCTGAAAAAATGGATAACGTCTTTCGGATTAGCTATTCGATCCACAAACTTCTGGCTAAAGCGAAGAACACTGAAAGGTTCGAAACCTCCACTGTAGTCCACCTGGAAACGCAGAATAAGCTATGAAGGCTAAGGCAACGACAGTTTGCCATTTCAGTATTTAGGTTATGCTCAATACTTTTTTTAAGTTAATAAGTTAATGTTCTACCATTCATTTTACAGGTACTGATGGTATTATACCATTTATACAACTGAAAAAATAAAGCTTCAAAGATTTATAAGCTTACTCAAAACACTTTGATGGAATCAAGATATAGCAAGTGGTAGAATTTTTAAACAAATTTTTAAACTTCTAAAACAGAAACAAAATTCCCCACCAAAATAAAATGCTGGCCCTAGATGCATCAGTTAACAGGTGTACCCTCTCACCTGTATCCTCTCACTCTAAACAAGAATAAAGGCTGGGAAAATCCATGTAAAAAAGAATCAATCTGTGAGCTTTGAGAAATATATACCCTTCAAAATATAGAATCTACTCAGAACTAACAATCACTCTTAAGGCAATTTCTTTTTAAAGAAGTTTAGCCCTGGCTGGTGTAGCTCAGCGGATTGAGCGTGGGCCTGTAAACTAAAGGACTGAGGTTCAATTCCCAGTCAGGGCAACATGCCTGGGTTGCAGGCCAGTTCCCAGCAGGGATGCATGAGAGGCAACCATACATTGATATTTCTCTTCCTCTCTCCTTCCCTTCCCTTCTAAAGATAAATAAATAAAATGTTTTAAAAAAAAAGAGAGAAGTCTATAGTGGGACAGGGACCTTTAAAAAGAATACTACTACACTTCTTCTAACAGATAACTCTTAATGCCCTCAAAAATTATAGCCGCCTGCCAGGACTGGTGTGGCTCAGTGGGTTGGGCATCATCCCACACACTGAAAGGTCGCCAGTTTGATTCTGGTCGGGGTGTAAGCCGGGGTTCTGGGCCAGGTCCCCAGTTGGGGATGTGCGAGAGGCAACTAACTGATCAATGTTTCTCTTACACATTGATGTTTCTCTCCCTCTCTAAAAAGAAATAAAATCTTTAAAAAAATTATAGCCTACTGTTGACCAGAAGCCTTACCAATAACATAAACAGCTGATCAACACATATTTTGTACATTACATGTATAATATATGGTATTCTTACAATAAAATAAGCTAGAAAAAAGAAAATCACAAGGAAAATACACGTACCGTATTTAATGAAAAACCCACATATAAGTGGACCTGTCCTGTTCATATCCGTGTTGTCAAGAGTCAACTACAATCACGTTCCTGAACTAGTTCTTGCTTCAGCATCATGCTCCGGGAACCCACATTACACGGCATCACAAGCCTGTCCAGACTCCTTCCTAACCTCCGCCCTCTTCCACGATTCATCACACCTAGCATGAGCTGACTTTCGTTCATTTACTCGCTGTTTACTATGCCTCACATCTCCACCTCCCGTAAGCTCCACAAGTTCAACACCTCGTCCCTGTTATCACTGCTGTGTCCTCCAGCATGTGGGACAGAAGGTATTCAGTAAATATTGGTTCACTGAACTAACAAATTAATAAGAGGCCCCTAATTGATACAATGTCCCTTTGAATATTACTTACATGGAAAAATCTGTTCATTTGTTTCATGAATGATTAATTATTTATTGAGTTTAGGAAAAGGAATGCCAATTTTCTATTTGAGCCTGGTTGGTCCTAATGGTATCAGGAAGACAGATGAGAAACGTGGAACCCTCTGCCCTGAAAGAGAACTATGTGGTTCTCCCAAAGCAACTATGTTTGTATTACCCAGACCAACTCCACAGCTGCCAGGATATAAACAGAAAATATGAAATGTTCAAGCTACTGGATCTCCCCAAATGCTTCAGACATTTTAACAATTGTACTCCAGCCCCGCTTTATATGTAATTTTCTGCTCCTAAGACTCACAATGCTTGTTCACTAAGCAAACTTTATTTAGTGTTCACAATGTGCTAGGCACTCTGCTAAGAGCCAGGAATACATGAATAAAACACAGTCTTGGTTGTCAAGAAATTCACAAGCTGACTGAGAAGACAAGCATGTACATACTAACTGCAAGCAGAAGGAAAGGGTGCTGTACGAAGGATGCACAAGCAAACCGAGGACACAAAGCATCGACTCTAAAGGCAGGTCAAGAAAGGCTTCTTCGAAGAGGGGAAGCTTTAAGTGGCGGTTGAAGGAGAAATTACAGAAGAAAAGCACATTCCACGCAGCAGAATCACATAGGCAAAGATGAGAAAGAGTGAAATAAACCTCACAAAAAAAGAACCCTACAATGTTTATAAAAATTTGTGTATTCTTACGTATAAACTTCAGTCATCTTCAAAGTACTATTTGATGCAATAAACCTATCAAGACATTTTTTCCACTGCTCAAAACAGTTTTTAAATTCATCAATTTTGATGTCTTTGAGTGCTTCTGCCATTCTTTGTTTCACCTCTTCCACATCAGCAAAATGTTTCCCTTTGAGGACTTTTTTCATTGGGGTGGGAGGGTGGAAAGAAGGCACTTGGGGCAGTATCAGCTGAATAGGACAGGTGGGGCATGGGGATCATGGTGTTTTTGGTCAAAAACACCTCAGCAAGGTGCAGGTAGGTGCACTTGTAATTCACCCATCATGAAATGGGCAAATGCGTTCTGTCTTCAAAACAACTCACTGAAGCTGAACGCAGCCTCTCACAACAATGCCAGCTGGTACACCGATACAGATGGGTTCCTAGAGCATTAACCTAGTAGTACAGGAAGCCTGTACTACTATGGCCTCACCTTCCAGAAGATAATTCTGTTTATTTGGAGGGTCCCCCCTTACACTATCCTCTGAAAATCAACAAAATTCAATTTATTTAAAATAGTAGTTACTATAAAACAAAACAAAGTAAAATAGAATAAAATAAAATAAAACAAAACAGAACTTACTCGCAGTCGTATAAGAGGCTTATCTGGCTGTTGAGAATTTCCCAGACGTTCCCGTTCAGCATTTTCAAGCATTTCTTCAATCTCAAAATAAAGACATTGTCATGACTGGGGGGAGGGACACTACTGGCATCCAGTGGGGTAGAGGTCACAGAGGATACTGTTAAAATCCTACAATGCACAGAACAACTTCCTGCAACAAAGAATTACCCAGTCCAACATGTCAATTGTGCCAAGGCTGAGAGCGACTACTGGTTCCCTGGCCAACGCCTGACCAATGAATTCGTTTTCCATCTTCCTGGTTTCAGAGACTGGGTTCAGGGACAAGTACATGGCTTCAGTCCAATGGAAACTCAATGCTAGGGTTTTACTAGAGCTACTGGGAAAAAAATGATTCTTTTAGCCAAAAGGATAATGGAAGTCTGTGAGCCGGCATGTGAAAATGCCTTCCTTAAAGTAAAGTTTAAGACAGAAACCATCAGAATGGGTGGCACGGAGCTAGACAGAAACAGAGTTGGAGAAAGACAATCTTAATTTGAGCTTCTGGATCAAATCACCTTGAAATCCAGCATCCCCTTAAACTTCTCAGTTTGTGTGAGTTACATGTTGCTGCTAAAGCTGTTACAGTGGGCAAGTCACTTTATCGAAGGTTCAGTTCCTCCTTCTATAAAATGTGGACGGTTGAATCTCCCTATGCACAGCATCGTTGAGTGGATTAAATGCAAAATGTTCTGCATGGTACCCATAATATATAAGTAAGCAATCAATATCAGTGATAATTATTATTACCATTCTTATTACCCTCATATGAGTTCTTATGAGAGTAAAATACAAACCTGAAGACTTAGCACAGAGTAAGAACCGAGTGTGAGCAATTAATGCTATGAAGCTTGTCGACTTACATACTCTTAAATGGATTCCCCCAACTTCTGTAGTGGCTCTAGAATTTCTGTAGAGGTTTAGGGCTGGCAGTCTGCACGGAAGGGGAGGTATGGGACTACGCTGAAGCTACGGGGTATATAGCAAACACGTTTTAAGACTTTAATTGGGGCAGCTTTGAGGGTGAAAGGGATGCCCACGGAGATGCTGGAGAGGTTAAGGCTCTCTTCATCTGTCAAAATACCCCATCAAAGCCACTGCTGGCTTTCATGAATAAAATCAGGATAAAAAGAGAGAAAAGATTACGCATGTTTCTGAGAAGAGGGAAAGGCACTGGGAGAGGGGCTTAACTAAAACTTCTTCTATAATTAACAATCTTCCATTTGGAAGACTTAAAGGATTTTTGATACACTCATTTATTGAACAACAGAGGTTCCTCACAGGCTCCATGACACTGCAACAAATACAGTGACTTCCCTCTGCAGTATTTAATTCAATTTAAATGATCTCTCAACTAAAGTAGATCTCATCGACCTTTATCTAGAAGAATTACCTTTTCCAAACAGAAGCTCTGTATGGCCTGGGTTACTTTAGGATTATCTGGGTTAAAAATGTCTGGATGATCAGCCAGTATTACATCCTCCATAAAAAACTGCCGCACTGTGTGAAGAGCAATTTTCTGCATATTCATCTTCCTTCCTTTAATACGTAGCAAACCAACATGTCTGAAATGAGGAGGGAAATGAAAGCCTGGTTACACTGTAGATTTCCTCAGGAAACTGTGCACAGAAAAACTATCACATTTCTAAGTTTCTACAAAAAAATTCTTTATAAACTCATACCCTTAAAAATATTTTTAGCAATTTAATGTTATGTCATGGGAGACTATGTTAAATATTCTTCTTCCTCAGAATAAAATCAATCATCATCATTTTTCTTGGCTGAACAAATATACAGTTTAGTAGAAGACAAACGTAACAGTTATATATAGTACAATGTTATTAACACCATGAGAAGCATATATGATGTATAGTTCTACACATATATGTATTATGTGTGTATATGTGCAGATGCATACATAAATTAGACGAAAACTATGAAGAAAAAAAAGAGCAAACTTATATCCTACTACCATATTCTTTAAATCTATTATTACCATCTTAATAATCAGGACTTGAGTGGACTAAAGGGTAAAACCACTGATTAGTCACCATTAACTACATTATTACATAAATCCTCCCCAAAAGAAATGAGATACGCTATAATACTGCATTTATTACCAGAAAAACCTCATAAACAGTTTTAGGTAAATCTGTTCATTATTGGACATTGTAAAATTAGTAATCATCTGTAGCACTCTAACTCAAAATTTAATAAAAATTTTAGTTTTGAATTTGCCTCATAAGCAGCAAAATTATTAACACCATCGGGATGATGCTGTGTTGAAAATGGCTTCAAATCTAGGGAAACAGCAAGACTACATCAAATGATCAATCCTCATAAATAAATAAATCTATCACATAAATAACACCACCAGTAGTTTGAAACTATGAGGTGATTACAATAATATAGGTGCTTTTGTAATTGATTTTAAAAATCTAACAGTTACTCACTTCTTTACAGCTTCTCCGGGGGAAAGTGAAGTAACCACTGAACTTCCGGGCTGTGACACGTAAAACAGTTGCTGCTCATTTTTGGTTGGAGCTATTTTACACTCGTGTTCATGGCCCCAGATTACGAGATCAATAAAGTCATCCAAAAATTGTTCTGGAATGAAGTTAGTATTCCCGTGTTTACTCCTATACCAAGATATTAAAAAATTAAATAACATAAATGTTTAGAAACATAGAAAAAATATCATATTAAGTACTCTATACACATCTTTTTTTCTCCTTCCATTAAAGATTTATTATATCCTTCTATTAAAGATTTACTACATTCTTCTGTGTGCCAAACTGGGCAAAAGATTCAGAATACAAAGATATTACCTAATTCTCCAAGGGGCTTAAAAATATGCAGGACAGGCAAGTAGGAGACCCAAAAGAGGAAGCAGTCAATCCTACATTTAGATGCAGATCACAAAAGGCTTTTCAGAGGAATAGTCTGCTTTGGGCAAGTCAGAAAAGCATGAACTCTATTAATAGCAAAACCTATAAACAGGTCTAGTCATACAGGAAAAACAAGAAAGACTACAGAAAACAGAAGAGAGCTAATCCTAAACACTGCAGAATAAAAACAAACCTCTAAATATGCCTAGTCATTTTTTAACATCACCTGTTTTATTACTGTGTACAAAAATGAAAATAAGAACGTTAATCTTATATAAGAAATGAGTTTTCCATATTAAATATCATGTAAGTGATTTACAAACTCTGGTTTTATACCTAAATTAGTTATTATTAAAAGATAGGTGAAAACCCAAGGTGAGTAAGGACAATGAAAGGTTTTTCTTTACACCAACTTACATACTGAGAATTTAAGTATAAGTGTTCAAATACTTTGACCTAGTATTCATTTAATGCAAACCGATACTCATTCGACAAATATTTAGACACTTAGGACACAGCAGTCAACAAAGTCTTTGTTCCAGTGGGGAAAACAAGAAATAATACAAGATGTATATGTATGTACATATGCATATGGTAGATATATATATATATATATATATGTGCCAGATATTGATAGATACTATAAAGAAAAATGACATGGAAGGAAGATGTCACTATACATAGTGTGGTCAGGAAAGGCATCTGTGACAGGTGACAAATGAGCACAGAAGTGAGGTGAGGGACTAGCATGCAAGGGAAGAAAGACCTAGGCAGAGGGATAAGCAGATGGCAAAGACACAGAGGTGGGAATGTGTTCAGTGACTTCAAGAATAGCAAGATCAGTGTAGCTGTGCAGAATGAATGCAGCAAAGAGGAGGAAGTGAAGTCAGAGGAGAATCATGTACCTAGGAATATTTTTATATAAAAAATATACATCGCCCTGGCTGGTGTAGTTCAGTGAATTGAGCACGGGCCTGTGAATCAAGTAGTCACTGGTTCGATTCCTAGTCAGGGCACATGCCTGCACTGCAGGCCAGGTCCCTAGTAGGGGGCATGCAAGAGGCAACCACACATTGATGTTTCTCTCCCTCTGTCTCTTTTCCTTCCCTTCTCTCTAAAAATAAATAAATAAAAATATTTTTAAAAAGAAACCACATTTAAAAAAATACACACACATACACACACACACACACACACACACACACACCCCTAGGGTCTAAAAATCAAACCCAAATCACTTTGGATTTTTCCTTAATAACTTCTCAGCTTTGTCCCTTACATTTCATTCTCACTGACATCTTAAAAAACATCTTTTTAAAAAGATTCTATTTATTCCTTTTTAGAGAGAGAAGGGAAAGTGGGAGAGAAATAGTGACACGAGAAAGATACATAGATTGGTTGGTTGCCTCTCCTAAGTGCCCCAAGTGGGGACCAAATCCAGTATCAAGCAGGCCACCTTTGGCCTTGTGGGACGACACTCAACCAACTGAGCCACACAGGTCGGGGCTTACAATTTTATTATAATGATCACGTAATAAATCTTGCTTATTCAAGTCTCTATTCCCTTCAATCAATCCTGTACCCTATCAATAAAATTAAACTTCTTAAAACTAACAAAAAAAGCTGATCTAGCTATATGTAATATTCTGGAAAAGTACCTGCGCATATGTACCAGATGTATATAAGAATGTTCATAACAAAATGGTTTTAAAAACAGGAGGAAAGTAAACTGTATACATCAGTAAAAATTAATTACACTTAATTTTAAGCATCAAATGGATATACTTTGTAATGTTGAAAACAGTAAGCTAGCTGCAAAATTTACAGCATGGTTCCAGTTATACCAAAACTAAATTTACTCATTATGGATATATAGGTGATTAAACAATAATGAAAACCAATGGGCTTAGTAAATAAAATTGGAGACTGTGCTTCTCTGGGGTACACAGAAGGAAATGGGGCCAGGGAAGGGCACTGGATAATGTACTGGTAGCACTCTGCTTTGCTGGATTTATGCATATTCATCTTATGGTCATTCTTATACCTTATGAATATATGTTGAAAACTTTTGAAACACAGTCACGCAAAGCATGTCTAAGTTTTGCCTGACCCTGCACTGACAACTTTCAAAGAATGAGGACCATTTGACTGAAATAGGTAAGCCTAGGAAACAGATATTTGGGGAACCTCAATACTTGACACAACAATTTCCAGAGAAAACTTTTACCTGTTCTGATGAATCACAAATAAATTAAACCAAGCATTCTCATCTTCTTTTGGTCTCAACATTGTTACTTTTTTATTGAGGAACATTCGATACAGCCTTTCATCTGGAATGGATCCTGAAATGGACATTACATACTTTAAAACCGGTTTCTTACTTGGTTTTAAAAAATGAGTATGTTTTACATCTAAATTATGTGCTTCTCATCTCAAAGTATTTCACTTTCCTATTAGAAATATATTTGAAATCTTGACTCATTATCTGCAAATGAGTATGTTCCAGGTTCTTGTATGACAAGTACTGAGCAGTTAAATGCATTCAAAGAATGCTTTCCTGTCAAGTATAAGTACCTTCAAAATCTAAAAATGTGGAATAAAAATTTGAGTTTTCTATACTTAAATTGCTATTAAAATTTCTATTAAAATACTGTTTTTCACTATTCCTTTATTATAAGTACATGGTACTTTTGATTTAACATACATTATAAAATACACAGGAAGACATTAAAAGGGATGAGATAAAAAAATAAATGCATTTACACATAATAGCCATATATACTGCATTTTTTAACAAAAATATTGCGCTTCTTAATAATTTAATAAATTTTAAACAATTCTTCCTCTAACCAAAAGGGTATGCTTAGTCTAGCCAAGGAAGCCAACAAAAACAAGTAAACAAACATACAAATTACAATTTTAAGTTTTACAAAAGGAGAAAAAGGATGCCAAGATGGGGAATGTCAGTGAAGGGACAAGGTTGCTACTTTATGTAGAGATCAGGGAAGGCCTTCAAGAAAAGCCAACAATGCAGAAGTGTAAGAACTAGAAGAGGCCTAGCTTCTAAAAAGAATTCCTAGTGTGTCACCAATGGAATAGACAGCGGACTGCACAACATAACTAGGCAGGGAAAGTTGAGTTGAGGGCATTTGAAGGTTGATCTTGAAGCACAGAGAACAATGACATTTGTAGGCTGGGAAAAAATTTGAGGGAAGGGAGAAGGCAGGTGAGCCAGTTGGCAATTAGCTCTGAGAGCAGCAGTTTGCGGGAAGGAAAGGAAGGCAGCAGGGAACAAGGAGAACAGAGATTATCCTTGCCCACCCCCTTGCCCTGAGGCCCAGAAAAGGCTGTGAGAGAACTGAGTGGGACATACAGTGAGTGACCTCAGGTCTAGTCAGGGAGTAGAGGCAACATTCAGAGAACAGGCTGATGAGAGGAAGGAATCTGCTAATTATAAATACAGTTCTCGAGTGTACAGAGAACAGCTGGGGTGAGAGTAGCAGGTGGAGGGTGGACAGTATCCACTTACGAAAAACAGAATAGGATAAGAGTTTGAGAGCCAAGTGGATGACTGAAGCACAATGGGATGTCTCTAGTCTGAAAGCAACAGGATCAACCATTCTCTGCAGTTAGTAACTCTAATGCTGCAGTGGTTAAAATACCAGTTGGTAGGGTTTGTTAAAACGTATTTCACTTTCTGCTCTATCACTTGTAAAATCAGACATATACCTCAACCTCATTTTCCGTATCTCTAAAATATACATAATCATGACGCATTTCTACTCGTCAGAGAAATAATGAAGTAAACAAAGACTATAAGCTCCCTAGAAAAAGTATTTAAATGAACCATCATAATTTATTACTTTAAAAATATATTAAAAAACAAGGGAAGTAAGTAAGATCTTCTATGACTTTTGTTACACCAAAATCACTCAAAAAATAATGAAACCTATTTTGAGGCTAGAATGTAAAGTTTTTCCCCAATTTTTCCCAGGGTACTTCAAGGTTGATTTAATATGGAATATAATTTTTATAATACTCCATACACAATAAATACAATAAAGCTACTGCACCCATAAAACAAATAAAATATCAAGCTGAACTTAATTCAAGAAAGATAAAAAGACAGACTTTTTAAAGAAAAACAGACATTTTTCTAAAAACGTCTTTGATCTGCCTTGGCTGGTATGGCTCAGTGGATTGAGTACCAGCCTGCAAACTGAAAGGTCGCTGATTCGCTGATTGTGTTCCCAGTCAGGGCACATGCCTGGGTTGCAGGCCAGGTCCCCAATAGGGGGTATGTGAGAGGCAACCAATGGATATTTCTTTCCCTTTCTTTTTCCCTCCCTTCTCCTCTCTCTAAACATAAATAAGTAAAATATTTTTAAATTACTAGAAAATATCTTTGATCTTTCACTCACATGGAATAAAACCTAGCAAATAGACTTTTTTACCTACTGGACACTAAATAAACTGAAGATAGTGAAGTTGATAAGGCAAATTTATCAACAGCTCTAGACTAGCACTGTCTAATAAAAATTGTAGCATGAGTCACTAACATAGGCCAAATATATCATTTAAAATTTTCTACTGGCCACATTAAATAAAACAAGTAAAAAAACAGGTAAGATTAATTTTAACATTTCATTCAACCTAGTCTATTAATGAGGTATTTTACATTTTTCCTAAATCTTGGAAATCCGACGTGTATTTTTACACTTCTAGCATATCTCAATACAGATGAGGCACATTTCAAGTATTCAGCATTGACATAAAGCTGATTGTTACAGTGGACAGAGAAGTTTTAGACCTTTCAAAATTTTCTAAGATATCAAAATGCAGTTTTTTTAATTGCTTCCTAATTGTAATATTCAGGATTATCTAAGTCTAAAAAAAGAAAAAAATTACATTAGCCAAGATTAAAATGAAGGAGAGAATCCTACAAGCAGCAAGAGATAAGGAGACAGTCACCTACAAAGGAGTTCCCATCAAACTGTCAGCAGATTTCTCAAAAGAGATCTTACAGGCAAGAAGGGGCTGGAAAGAAGTATTCCAAGTCATGAAATCCAAAGACCTACAACCAAGATTGCTCTATCCAGCAAAGCTTTCATTTAGAATGGAAGGACAGATAAAGTGCTTCTCAGATAAGATCAAGTTCAAGGAGTTCATCATCACCAAGCCATTATTATATGAAATGTTAAAGGGACTTATCTAAGAAAACAAAGATTAAAAATATGAACAGTGAAAGGACAGCAAACTCACAGTTATTAAGAACCACACCTAAAACAAAAGCAAACTAAGAGGACAACTAGATCAGGAGCAGAACCATAGAAATGAAGATTACATGGAGGGTTAGCAACAGGGGAGTGGGTGGAGGAGAAGGGGGGAGAAGGTACAGAAATTAAGTAGCATAGACAGTAGGTAGAAAATAGATGGGGGGAGGGCAAGAATAGTATGGGAAATATAAAATCTAAAGAACTTGAGACACGTGGTCATAAACTAAAGGGGGGGAATGGTGGGGGAGGGGTGTACAGGGTGGAGGGGAATGAAGGGGGGAATAGAACAACTGTAATGGCATAATCAATAAAATATATTTTAAAAAATGAACAATAAATACTTAGCAAAATACTTTTTCACCAAAACTGCAATTAAAAACAAGTATTAGGTCTATTGGTTCTTATTAAATACTAAAAAATTTCTACCAAAACCTACCCTTTTTATAGTAACTCATAAAGAATACAGATTTGCCTCATGTTTTTCCAAACAGCAACTCCAGAACGTGATTACAAACAGTCACTTAAACAATTAAATATTTACTGACATAAATAATAAAACCATCTTACCTAAGCCATATAGAGCAATTTTTGTGCTTCCTTTTTGAAGCAAAACTGGACTAATGTCTATTTTCTCCACAGACATTGAACGCCCAAAGTGATTTACATATCCAGCACAACTTAAAATATCCAGGGCACAGAGTGTATCTGCCTGTGCAGAGTATTTTCAAAGAACATAAATGCATTTAGAGGGGGGGAGAGGTGGGGAGAAAATACAGACAACTGTAATTGAACAACAATAAAATAATTTAAATTAAAAAAATTAATAAAGAATATAAATGCACATTTAAAAATAAGTAATCTATACCATATTATTTCCTACTAAAGTATATTCTATACACTAGCCAGATTCTATATACTACTAACAAAAACAGATTAACATAGTGTCTTCTCAAAACAAAAATCACAATATTAAAAGTTTTTCTACATTTTTTCTATCAGAAATTACCTGCAATTGGAATCACATGCTAAATACAAAGTGAACATTTCATCAAAACTTATGATGTCTTAGCCACTGAAAATTAAGAACTAGCCATGAAATAAGTGCTTTGTAACACTGAGCAGGCCTCTTAAGATGTGGGGGGTGGGGTGGGATGGGAGGAACTAGATAACTAGTCATTTACAGTATTCATTACCAATAACATGAAAAGATATTTTCAGTTCAGGACCTCTATTATTGCCTCCTTATAAACAGATAATAAGGTGCCCTAATTTACATTTAAAACTGTTGATGAAATACTCATTTCAAACAAGTGAGATTCTATGAGATAATAGATACAAGAGCATTTGGTAAACTGTAAAGCATTATACAAAAGATAGGTGTTGGCTTCTTCCTACTCCTGGTTACTTACTGTTAATCTCAGCACTAATAAAGTAAAAGCATACTGCACACACCAATTATTACTCCAGATGTTTAAAAATTACCTCAAAAGTAGTATAAAGCATATATGAATGATAAAAAATCAGTATGACTTTTTAACTCTTTTAAAAACTATTTTCCACAGACAAACTAAGTCATTTCTAAAATTTCAACACACTGTAAGAACCCAATAATTACCCCTGTAGGATCATCATGATTGCCATGAATACTAAACACGGGGATTGAAACGTTGAGATTGTCATCTTGGTAGTTCACCCATGGAAACCTTAAAAAATAAAATTTTTTAAAAGAAGGTAATTAAAGGTTCTGTAAGAGACAAAAGCTATTTCCCCCAGTATCCTCCTACAAAAAATAATTCAGTTATAGACAAACTGGATGATCTAAGTGGAAAAATTACCAGTTTAGAACTTAAAAAATTAATATCATAGGCAACAATTCATTTCAAGTTTGAAAATATGTGAAAGTACTACACTTCATTAAAGAAAACCCTACAATAAATGATGCTTGTGAACTGTATAAGAGTGGCATATCTAATTAATAGGGCACCGATAGGTTTCCAAAATTTTAAAGTTGTACAATGTTTTTACTTGTAGAAAGGGGAGGGGGCAAGAAGTATATCCTTTTAATCCAAAAGATATAAACTGAAAATTCCAGCTCTATCACTCACAGCCGTGCGAGTCTCCCACCCACCCCTGTTCCCAGTCTAGCTCCTCTGCTCTGAGGCAAACGATGGTAACAATTTCTAGTGAATCTTTGCAAAATTATCTTATACCTGTAAAAGCAAATAAATACACCTTCCTTCTTACACAAATAATAGCACAATATAGATTACTACACTGCTTTTATTATTTAACGTATTTTAGAAATCATTCTGTCAGTACATGAGGAGCTTCTTGTGCTTTTCTGGTTGGACAGTACTCCACGGTGTTGATTATTATAATTTGTTTAACTAGTCACCTACAAATGGATATTTAGACTATTTCCAGTCTTTTGTTTTACAAATAATGTTCAAATCAGTAACCTCCTACAATGTTGCCCTTGTTAAGAGGACAGGAAAATATCTAGAAGGGAATTGCTGGGTCAAAGAATTTGTGTGCATGTATAAATTTGATGGCTACTGCCAATTTCCCTCCATAGCAATTGAACAAATCTACACATAACACAATGGCAATACATGAGAGACAGTTTTGCCTTACTCCACCAACATAATCCTTTAATATCAAGCCTTTAAAGCTATGCCAGTGATTCTAAATTTTAGCTGCATGTTAGAGTTATCTAGGACTCTTTCAAGAAATACCAATGCCCACAAAATGCTCAAAGAGATTAATCAGCCTAAAGACTGGGCATAAATATTTTTTAAGATTCCTAAGTAACCATAATGTGTACCAGGATTGCAAATAACTGATCTATGCTAATATAATAGGGAGAAAAATATTTCAGTATACTTCATTTTGTACCTTTCTTACACATGAGCTTTATTTTATGGTTTTTATATTCTTTTAATATGTTTAAACACAACTTTATTTATTTCCTTTTCTGTGAGCTCTGTCCATATTCTCTACCTATTTTTTAACTAACTCATAGATTTTTTTAATTGACTTGAAAGAACTATTTATCTGTTGTGGACATTACATCTTAGTTTGGAACTGGTCGCAAATATTTTACCTGGTTGAACTCTCAATTTTGGCTTTGCTTCAGGTAGTTTTTGACGCACAGAAATTTACTTTTACAAATAGAAAGTACCAATCTTTTCTTTTAAGGCTCCTAGGTTTTTACCATACTTAGAAAAGCCTTCTTCACATCTAGATTTAAAAAAACATGTAAAAGTTTCTTCTAGTACTTTTATTAAATAATCTATATTTTTCATGGAGATATGAGATGCTGCCTTCATCAAACACTAAATTCCTACATATATTGAGACTACTTTGGGAATTCAGTATGTCTAAAGGATAAAGAAGGCAATCTAAAAGAACACCCAAAGGCTAACGCTGGTAAAATTTATATAAACTACAAAACAGATCACAACAGTATTAAATCCTAACCCAAAGAAAAAAGTGAGTTCACACTGATAAACAACTGAATTAGTTCCTAATGACACAGACAACTGAAATAAATGACACAAGGCACAGATATTCCTTACTAAAGAATGCCAGTCAATAAATGTAGAAAGAATGTGGAAAATAGAAAATCACTATTAGAACACCACAGTTGTTCTAAAGGCAAGAGCCACTAAAGAACGCTAAAATTAGTGGACAAACTTTGAGGAGAAACGGAATAGTTGCATAGACTTAAAATATCCATCCCCAAATTTTCAGTAGTTCCAGTGGTGTTTTTAACCATGGCCATAAATTCTTTGATACTCCTTCCTCTCTCCTGAAAGTAGAACTTAATTCCCTCTCTTTTGAGGGCTAGACTTAGCAACTCCATTCTAAAAAATCGTGTACCTGACAGCCAAGGAACCTGCAGACACCACCTTAACCAAGTGACCAACGTTAACCTCACCAGTGATAAACCATGTTGAGAACATGTACTCCCAAGAAGCAGTTTACGTCTGTGGGGAATATTCTTCCCAAAAAAACATAATCCTACTCTAATCATGAGAAAAAGCCAAATTGAGGGACATTCTATTAAAATACATGACCAATATGCTTCAAAAGTGTCAGGTCATAAAATACATGGAGAGACCAAGAAACTGGAATAGGTTGAAGACTGACACAACATTTCAACTAAATCCAAAGTGTATACTAATACAAATGTTTAAGAAAAAACGTGAGATCTTCATGACATGGGGTTCTTGGTAGATATCAAAATAAGTCCCCAAAGCACAAACCTTAAAAAAAAAAATCAAATTAAATACTTCAGAGTCAACAAAAGGCACCATAAAAAAGTCCAAAGATAATCCACTGATTAGGGGAAAAAAAAATACATGCCTAACATAAGCTTAGTATGTAGAATATATAAATAACTCCTGCAAAGTCAGTAGCAATAGGAAAAAATCCCAATTTTTAAAATGGGCAAAGGATATAAACTGATACTAAAATGTAAAAATAAATTTCAAGAAGATATTCAGTCCCACAATTAATTAGAGAATTATAAATTAACATACTGGTAATGATGTACACAAAATTGAAAGAACTACATTTACTACGAAAATAGGTTATAATGAAAGAGAAATGCTCATTGTTCATGTGTCTTATACAGAAAATATCCTACATAAGGAAACTTCACATAAGCACATAAATATACTTACTTACTAAAACCAAAGTTGACTGACTGATCGCTGATAATTTCAAACTGTACAGGACGATCGCCCATGCAGTATTTTCTTAATAACTCCAGGCAGGTATGTAATGTTTTTCTTGAGGGCTTATTTTCATGAAATAGATCACCACCTAACAAAATAAAGTCCACCTAATCAGCAGAAAAGTGTTAAAATTAGTATGTTTTATAGATAAAATTTTTCTAGTAAAGAGGTAGAAAAACATATCATATATGGAAATTTAAATTTTTATATTTTATTCCTTCCAAGGACCTTCCAGTCTGGTGATTAATTTGACTACAATTTAGGCTCCTAGGCCACCTTCAAAAAACCTATCTTCAAATGACAACACCAAGTCCCTCACTGATGCAACCCAAAGGACCATATATTTCCCATTACTCAAACAAAGAATAAACTCAATGCTTTAATAGAGTGGCTATGAGAGAGATAGCCAAATCAATCCAAATTATTCATGCAATTTATTCAACAATTATTTAGAGTTTCTAGAGGCACTGGCAGCTAAGGAAATAGCAATCTACAAAACAGATAATGTCTCTGCCCTCATTAAATACTGACAACATACAATACCCTGTACTAGATAGGCCCTGAGGATACAATAATAAATAAAATACCATTCCTATCCTAAAAATGTCCAAAATCTAATGGAAGAAACAAACTTATGCATTTAAGATAAGTCGGACTAACATGCACTGGAATGGGTCTGTAAACAAACCAGGAGCAGAGACAGCGTTACAATGAGTTCTAACTGAGGAAAGGAAATTCCTCCTAGGACAGTGAGTCTGGGAGGGATTTGCCTGCATGGTGGCACTATGAAGGATAAATGAGATTCTGAGGAAAAGATTCTAGCAACAACCAGAGAGGAGAAAACCATACTAAAATTAAATCCGACACACTGATGCTTTCAAGAAGGGTGCAATCTACCTGAAGAAATTTACTGAAGTTTTTAACTACACAACAGAACCCAGCAATACAGACCACTGTGGGCTACAGTAGTGAGGGGGAGTGCTGAAGGCAATTAAGATCCAGCTGAGTCAGGAAAAACATTGCTACCTCCCCCTTAACTGCGAAAAGTTTGAACAGAGAGCCTATACCAGCAAGAAAGCTATTACCAGTCAGAAAGACTTCTCTGCAAGGCATGGCAAACGTTTACCAAGCATTTGCTCTTCCCATCTTCCTGTGAAGTATCTTCCTCCCCTTTGGAGCCCATCCTTTTGTTCAGAATCGTAGGTAAGCCTCAATTACCTGACTACCAGGCAGCCTCATAGTTTTATGTATGAAATTTGCTTTTCTCCTGTTAATTTGTCAGTGTAATTATCAGTGTTAGGATGGGCAGGGTAGGACAAAGTGGCGGCTGAACTACAACCCGGAAAAGACGCTGACATCAAACCAGAGAGCCAAAAGGATAGGCTTTATCCGCATAGCAATCTGAGCCCAAGGAGAACCACCAATGATATGTTGCCGCTTTGTTCAAAGGGAACAAAGGGTTCAAAAGAGAAACTGCAAAAACTTTAACCAAACTTACTCCATTTTCCTGGGCAAGTCTTAAAATTTCGTCAAATGTGACAAATGTATCATTTCCTCTGACTGCATCTTTCTCCATAAATCCCAGATGAATATCAGTTGCAACCAAAATTTTAAATGTATTTTCATCATCACTATATTAAAAAAGAAGAAGTGTTTCAATATAATTCATTAAAAGAATGTTCAGGTAAATTGAAACCTAAACTTATAAAATAAGTAACAGCAGTTACGGAGTAAAATCACTTTTCTAATTTTTAAACTAAGTCTGAAAATTTGAAGTACTCAAAAGATCTTTCTCCTCACATAGTTTGCCTAACACTAATTCAATACAGAACCAATGTACATAAATTTTAAAAAGGTCTATGACTGCTTCAAAAATTTATAACCTTGTCACAACCAGTTTTACACTCATTCATACCCTGGACCTAAAAAGCTTTATTGTTTTCCTATTCTGTCTCATAGCAAAAACCCAAGAGGATTTGACACCTTATCTAAATTTGCTATCTATCTATTCTGTACTCCTCTAGGAAAAATTAGAGCTAACTGGTTAATTTTAAAAGCCCTTCCTTTTATTTTATAAGGATATTCCATGTTAATAAATTAGTAACTTACATTCAGGCCCCTGAAGTTGCTTATTTTGACTCTACTCTCTGTACAGTGTTAAGTGTTTCCCTAACAAACACTTGGCTGAGAAATAAAACAAAATTATTTACAATTCCATTCAAATCTGTTAGTATTCAAAGGTACTTTCATGGGAAGTAGCAATTTAATAGTTATTAACAGACTCAAGCTTAATGTATGTTTTGACATTTTTTTAAATATTTTTAATATCTATGATCTCATCTCAACTCACACAGGTAGAGTTAGCTATTGCTATTTCTGGAAAATAAGAAGGCTAGACAGAGATATTAACTGACTTATTGCACAACTAAGTGTTAAAAACAGGAGTAAAATGGTTTTAAAATTCGGGCTATTTTTCACTAAACTATCACCATGGGCTTAAAAATATATATATACATATACATATATCTCCAAAATTCAAATCTCTATATGCAAGAGATTTTTCCAGAAAAAATTTCTCTTCAAAAACTTTAAAAATGATAGGCACACAGTTCTGCTATGTATAAAAAGGTATATCTAAATACTTTCAGATCACATTACTTCCCTATGTTTCCACAGCAACTTATTAAGTATTTTCATATGACTGTTTCATTTAAAAATCAAAATCCAAGGCATTTTTTTCCAGTTATACAAATGAAGAAACTGAGGCAGTTTAGAAAATTGCTAACTTGCTCAAGGTCGCACAGAATTAATCAATTAAACTCCTAAAGCTTTTTCCACATAATTGTTCCTTTTATTATCATTTTACTCAAAAGTATTTCGAATCACTACAGCAGTTTAGTCCTCTAAAAATGTGCTTCAACAGACTTCCCCTGGCTACTAAGACTTATCATGAAAGCTCAAAAATATTTACAGCTCCAATATTTTAAGACAATACCCAAGAACATAAATTTACATACTATAGCAACACATCCAAATTACTGCAAGAACCAATCTATTGCTGCGTATTATCTTTTCATTAATAAACATAGTATGAATTTTTAAACATTCCAAATATTCTTTTTGATGACTATCACTTCTACTCATAGTAAAGCTATTTGCTGCTAATTTACTAAATGTTTTCTTTCAGGGTGATCAGAGTTGATAGGTTTCTAAAAACCCAAAGCAACAAAAATATTCCAGAAGACAGGTGCTTACAGGGCTTCTGCAGGACTCATTTCTGTGGTCAATCAGTCCAGTTCCTGGAGGACGTTTTCTCTCCAAGTAACCCCCGGTCCTTGCTCACATGTCAGAAAACACACTCGACTCCAAATTCTAAAAGCAAAATCATATTATTGTAACACACACATTTTTAAAAGGCAGACTGGAAATATAGCAAGTCTCATTTTCATTCAAGCACCTACCGTACTTTTAAGAGCTAAGAACAGAAATGAGCACATCTGTAGTGCCATTCTAATTTCACCATTATGATTAGGCTCATCTATATTCCTGTTCCATGTTCTATGAGAAATTGCTAAATTAACGGGCAAAAAGGGTCACACGGGGTTAAGTTCTGGTTTATCACAAGAACGACTCTGAATGTGCAGAAATGTTGAGGCGCTTGCATAGGCTATTCTGAGGCATGGAGGCGAATCCCTACTTCCCGCTTAAATACAAGATTTTCTAAAGGAATGGCTGGTTTTGTAAAGAGAACGGCCCCTCGTTTAAAGCTAGAGTCAATAAACAGAAACACGTGGTCTGCGGAGAAACAACAGCGGCCAGCAGAACAAATGGCGAGCATACTTGGGGAGGAGCGGCTGCCATCGCACAACAACCTCTCCCACGTCCAGATATCCCCAGTGCCGTGGTGACTCCAAGCCTCAGCGTGCCCCACGCGGAACCCTCCAAGGCTCCTCCCCAGCCCACTCGGCCAATTCTTCTCAAAGGGTCAATCCGCTTCGGGCTTCCGCCAGGGATGCTGCAAGTGTAGGAGGCGGATAGGACCGCACACTGAAGCCTCTCCAAAGCCACATCACTGGGACCCAAGACTGTCTTTTACCCGGGAAGAAGGAGTAAGATTCGTGAGCACAAAGCACCAGACCAGCTTCAATTCGCCTGCGAGACTGCTTGGCCCTTAACCGGAATTAAGCGGGAGAAAAGAGCCAACTCTTTCTCTCGCGGTACCTCAATGATGACGCAAGCGCATCAAGTCCTCTTCAGCTCTCATTGGCTGTCCGCAGCGAAAAGGGTCATGGAAAGTTGCAGCGAGGCCCCGCCCTGGTATAAGAGCCAATCCTGAGCAGCCTTAGGGACTAACCCCGGAAGCGAGGTTTTTGATGGTGACTTCTGCGCTTTAAGGTGGGTAGCTCCTCCCTGCTCAGTCCACGTTACCAGGTACCTTGGTGCCACCTAAGAACTCTTGCGGGTAGGGGCGGGTCACCTGTGGACCCCGGCCGCGTCACGGACTCTACTGTGAGCTCCCCTGAAGGCCGCAGGAGCTACTCGTGGTCCTGTGAAGCGGCCACCGGTGCCGGAGGGCCGGGACTGGTGGCCTTCCCCCTTACTCCCATTGTCCAGAGGTAGAGCATTCAGATCCTCAATTTTACAAGCTTTTCTCTGCTTTCCCTTAGCCATTCAACCCGGATTTGGCACATCTGTATTGTTTTGTGCTGGCAGCAGAATATAGTGCAGTAAAAAAATAATGTGAAACTTTTGATTTAGAAAAGGTTTTCAGTTCCATTGAAGTTCCTTGATCTAAACTGTTTCAATCTATTCGAACTTCAGCTTCCTTCATCTGTGAGATGGGGTTTTACTCTGCCCCTTCCGTCACCGGGTTGTTCGTGAATGTGCCCCTTAGGTTAAGAAACATACCCTATTTCTTCTGGGTGGAATATAATCAAGTAAGAATCCTGATTGACTTTAAATCCTGAATCAATGAGATGCACCGGGGTTTAACTTTTTAAATTAAATCCAACAAGAAATTTTTATGTGTAATTTTATTGTATCTGGAGCAGTAAATTCGAAGTTTATTATTTTTTTTTAAAGAGAGTCTTCACAAAAAGGTGGGCCATGAGATCTGTGCTGTAAATTGATGTAATTAACAAGTGAATTTTATGCTACTAGTATTTGTCGTTTCATGAATTGATGCATGGTCACTTTTGCTTTGCAAAATCCAGGGTATAATTTGAGAATAAAGGAAAAAGTAAGAACTATTAAAATATAAAGCAATTCTCATAGTGTCTCTCATAGACTGACAAGTTGGACAGGCCTTGGAAGTTCTTTAGTAAAATCCTTACAGTTTACAGTGAAGTAACAGGCCCAGAGAAGGTACTAGTCATGAGAATAGACTTAAACTACAGTTTAATGCACTTGGCACTAGTAACAAAATATAATGCTGAATTAGTATTGTATACTATTAAACTTGTAAAATTAGGTATAAAGAAATAAGTATCTTAGGAGTATGACTAACTCTGCAACTTCTCAGAATCCACTCCATTCAAAATCAATCAATAGGGCTTTAATTAAATTTAATTCTACAATATTTCTCTATGTAAGTGGGACATAAATATAAGTTCAATAAATATAAGTTCCTATACGTAAACTTATTATCTTTAAAGAGTCCAAAACAACAAAAATTAGTGGTGAAATAAGACAATATATAGCACACAAAAAAGTAGAAACGAGAGATAATTTGGAGATCAAGAAAGACTTAATGAAAGAAATAACATCTGAGAAGAGGCTTGAAAGAGACGATTTCAAACAAGTATAGTTGGGAGGATGAAAGTGGTATTTCTGAAAATGTATTTTTGAATCACAGTTGGCATGCAATATTATATTAGTTTCAGATGTACAACATAGTGATTAGACATTTATATACATCACATAGTAACCACTCTGATAAGTGGGAATGGTGTTTTTAAAATTTCCATTCTTCTCATTTTCTTTGATTGGTTAACTAATATGCTGTGTAACTCTTTAAGCTGATACTGGTTTTTAAATTAATATAGCAGCCTAGCAGAATAAGCATCATATACTGTGGGAAGCCTTCTCTAATCCCTTAGGGCTGGGTTAATTTTGACCCTCCAGAACGCTCACTGTACCTGGACATGGTCCTATCACAGCATTTACCCTGATGTCTTCACCAGTCAGTCCAACTTGACAGTAAGTTTCTTGAGGTTCAGATGTGGATCTTATTCATTATTGAATCCCAGTACCCAGACACTGGCACATACCCGCCATTCTGTTCATATTTGTTAAATGAAGGGGTGAATCCCAGCCAAAATTCAGTTTCAAAACAAGAAGCTAATTAAGAACAATAGTTGTCTGTCAATGACTCATACTACTTTTACAGCAGTGAATTTTCCCAAGCCTGAAATTATTAAAGTAGAAATAAAGTAACTATTACAGATGTCTTGATAAAGATTTTAGCTGCATTGATGAGAGATTTGGACACATGTCCTTTGAGGCTATTCTATCTCTAAGGCTCCCCGATTCTTTCAAGTAGATTTGTGTTTTTGCTCTACAGTATATATGTGTCTGTTTAAAAGCTTCAAGCATTTCTCACTCTTAGCATAATACAATCTAGTCTCTAAACCAATAAGTTCAAAATAAATACAGGCATACCTCAGAGATATTGTGGGTTTGGTTCCAGACTGCTGAAATAAAGCTAATGGTAAACTTTTTGCTGGTGGAGGGTCTTGTCTTCAATTTGTAAAAAAACATGTTTCTGTGAAGCATGATAAAGCACAGTGCAATAAAACAAGGTCTGCCTATACAGTTATAACCACTGACTTAGAAGAAACAACAGCAAAAAAAAAAACCTTTTAGATTATTAAAGATATAGGTAACTGAAATCTCTCAGCCTGATACTTAGTGAATATAAAGGGTATCAATAAACACCAAAGAGTTTAAACAGGCTTTATTTGTGTATGTGTATAAGACATATATGCTGTTGATAAAGCCTCAATTACTGTTTTGCTAATAATTTTTGTTTGTATTTTCAGATCTTGAGAAATAAAGCAGATACAATTCATCTCTAAAAAGATTATTTATACCTTGATATTTGAAATGCTTTATGTTTAGAATAGTAATAAAAATGGAAAAAGAGAAAGTAAATAATGATGGACAACCAGATCCAGAGAATTCCTTGGACTTTTCTGAACACTTTAACCAACTTGAGTTGCTGGAGACACATGGACACCTTATTCCCACTGGTACCCAAAGTCACTGGGTAGGGAATTCTGATGACGATGAGGAACAAGATGAAAAGTCTGAAGAGTGGTATCAACTGCAAGAAAAAAAAATGGAAAAAGATCCAAGCAAATTGCTTCTTTGGGCTGCTGAAAAAAATCGGGTAAAAAAATAATTAAGGAAGAAATCATAATATAATAGGAAAAGTATTAGATTTGGAGACAGAAGACCTGTCCTTGACTCTTTCTTTGGTCTGTAACTGTCTCTGGGCAAATCCTACTATTTCTGAACCTCTATTTTTCTTATCAGTAAAAATGACCACCTTAATACCTACCTCTTTATACAGGGTTTCGAGGCTCAAATGATGTAATGTGCATTGAAAGTACATGGTAAGCTATAAAGAGTCAAATTAGGTATTTGGGGAAGGAGGGAGCTATAAAGATGGCAAGCAATCATCTAATTTTAAGTCATTTATATTAAGTCATTAGGATCATCTTAGAAACATTTAGGAAAGGGGGGATGGGAACTAACATTTATTGGGTGTCAGCTATACCATGTGCCTTATTGCATTCTTTGATTTAATCCTCGTATATCCCTAAAGGTAGGTAATGCTTTTCCTCGCCCTTTTACAGACTAAGAAATTGAGATTCAGGAATATTAATTTGCCCAGGATCATCAAAGTAGGATGATCCTATTTAACATCAAAAGTCTATTCTTCCCACTCAGTCACTTCTGCCTCACTTGAATAAGTTCCTGTATGTCTCTGTTAGTAAACTAATAACAAAATGTCTTGCATTTTTGGAGCATGCTTTGTTCCACCAGATGTCCAAAGACCAAACAGAAAATCACTTCCTGAAAACTCATGTCTAGGGTCGTTTTAGTTAGAAGGAATTGAGCTCTTTCATGTCTAGATTTTTTTGTTACCATTACATCCTGATAAAGAAGTTTATTTTTTAAAGTTTTATACACTACCTATATTGGTGTAGGTGTGCTACTCCTACAGAAAAATTAGTCTGTGATTATGTTTTCTTTAAAGCTGACATATAAAATATTAAATAACAATTATAGCCTATATTACTTACCTAGGACTAAAGCTTTTGTGCAGTAAGCCTTAATGTTTGCTGTTAAGATAATCACATTCTTAGAATCAATAGTTTATGGTTAACACTAACTTGTTCATTCTTTTTCTTTTCTTTTTTTTTTTTTTTGTTTTTGTTTTTAAGATTTTATTTATTTTTAGAGTAGAAGGGAGATAAACATCACTGGTTGCCTCTCAAGCACCCTCTACTGGGAACCTGGCCCACAACTCAGGCATGTGCCCTGACTGGGAATTAAACTGATGACCTTTTGGTTCACAGCCCAGCACTGAATCCCTAAGCCACACCAGCCAGGGCTAACTTGCCCATTTTTAAATCAGTTACCCTCTCCCCTCAAAAAATGAAATCTTATTTTTATTTTAAAGTCATCTTCTAAGAAGTAGGTTTTTATTTAACTTAATTAAATCTAACACCACCAGACAGTTGAATTTTCTCAGTTTACTGCTTTGTTTTGAGTTGGGTTTTTTAAAGATCTCTTTTTTCCTTTTTAGCTAACTACAGTGCGGAGGCTTCTCTCTGAAAAGGCCACTCATGTGAACACTAGAGATGAAGATGAATATACACCTCTCCACCGAGCAGCCTACAGTGGACACTTAGAAGTTGTCCGTGAGCTAATAGCACAAGGAGCAGATGTTCATGCAGTGACTGTGGATGGCTGGACACCCCTGCACAGTGCTTGTAAGTGGAATAATACTAGAGTAG